GAGGTGGGATTTCCGTGAGGTGCGCCGGCGTGTTTGTGGAGGCACCGTTACCCGGGGCTGTCCTACCTGATTCTGGAGCTGTTCGATGGTCTGGTAGTAGGGGCTGTAGTCCTTGGAGACGCTGGGAGCTTGTTTCCTGTACCAGTCGCGGATGTGGAGCTCGAGCTGGGCGTTTTCCTCCTCCAGCCTTCGCACTTTGTCCAGGTAAGAAGCCAGGCGGTCGTTGAGGTTCTGCATGGTGACCTTCTCATTGCCGCTCAGAAGGATGTCCCCCCCCGCCCCAAAACCTCCGCCAAAGCCACCGCCAAAGCCTCCTGCCAGGCCGCCCCCAAAGCCCCCCGTGAGGCTGCCAGCGCTCAGGCCCCCCCCGTAGCCGGCGCTGCACGCTGCCCCGCCGTAGCTGCCCCCGCCGATCCCAGAGGAGGCGTATCGCCTGCAGGAGACGGAGGAACTGCGGCCGCCGCCGCCACCGCCGGCGCCTCCAGCTCCGCTGCTCCGGTAAGAGGTGCTGGATGTTCTCTTGATGCTGCAGCTCATGGTGGAAGGGATCAGCTTGTGGCCCAAGTGCAAAGCCCTGCACAGCTCGACTGAGGAGACGAGGCTGCAGCCTCCTGTCCGCACTGACGGCTACTTATACCTTGCTGGGTGGGTGGCACCTGCCAGGCAGTCCAGCTTCCCATGGCCTTTGCCAGCCCGAGCGCTCACGCCAAAAGTGATGTGCTAAGGGGAATTTCTTTTGGGGCTTGGGACAGCCCTCCCCACAGGGATTGTGTCTGCATGCTGATTCACACGGAGCAGGCACTGTAATTTCAGGTGGGTGGCTGTGTGTTAGATTTTGGCTTAGATAGCGTGTTGCTGGCTACTTGGTGAGTGGGGCTCGTTTTAATACTTCTTCTTTGTTCTTTGTAATCATTTTTTCTACCGAAAGCAGGTGGTGAAAGCACCACCTAGTTACTCTGTTTTAATTTCGGAGTTGGAGAAATATGAACTCAGGCACCTCCTGTGTGAGTCCGGTTTCCTTTTACCTGCAGAACTGGGAGCATCTGACATTTCTGGAAATAAAATCTCTGAGAATGTGGGTTCTTCCCTACAAAGAAAGCTCATGTGGGCACTGTCTCTCAGAATTGCTTAGTGGTAAATCTCAATGGAATAACCTTTGGAGAAGCAGTGATATTTGTGAGTTTTGATGAAAATCCGGGAGTACCGCTTCCAGGAAGTAATCCCGTGTCTTGCACAGAATGATGGACGTGCAATGACGTAATTTAAAATCTGTGATTTTTTTTTTAAATGTTGTGCAAATTTCTAGTCACTCGGAGATTACTTTGAACTGAAATAGGTGTGTAGGATCTCTAAGGCGTCACTGACTCTGTCTTGGGCGAGGAGAGCAAAAGGTTTCAGCGTTTTGGCTTAGCAAAATGGAAGCTAAGATGATTAGCAGCTTGCTCTCAAGGAAGGAGATACCAGGGCGGTTTAAAACAAAGGACAATCCTGTCGTCCGTTTAGGAAAGGGGCATCATCTGCTTGAGTGTGTTTGGGCTGCAAACTACGGGGGAGCTTTTTATCTATGAGAGGCAAAAGGGTCTGGAGGTTGCTTCCATTGTGGGAGCTTTGGATGGAAAAGAGATTGACCAGTTTTGAGATTGACCTTGATCGGCTGGTGGCAGGAATTTTATCCTCGTGTTGTAGAGACGGCTGTGAGGACCCTTTGGATCCCCCTGGCGGCCTGTCTTTCGTCTCCAGCACTGCAGAGCACAATTGCAGCGTCCGAGAACAGGTTGTGATGAACCTGTCTTTGGAAACGAAAGTTTGCCTTCAGATAACTTTCGCAAAACATAAATTTTAAGCCTGAAAGACAAGGGCCCTCTTTACATGAGAGTTAGACTTTAATGGAAATTAATCTGTATTTGGAAGTCAAAATTTACTACTTCGTTTCGGTGTTGGCTTCTTCATTTTCAATCTTACTTAAATGCAGCTTGTGGTTGTGGATGGAGCAACATTTTCTCTCTTAGCTGCGATAATGATGAGACCCGTAAAAGTTATGAATGTGTGTTACAGCTGACAAGTATCACGGAAAGCCGTTTACCTTCTTTCTGGATACCCCTACACACATTTTCATAGATGTGCTGAAGATAATGTAATGCTTTGATCTCCGTAGTTATGATTGTTCTTTTATTGGTAGCTCTCTAATTGTCTGCACGTCAGAACCAGTTGCTTTGCATATGTTATTGAGGCTGAGTCATCACTGTTAAATATAACAATTATTTTCTCACAGGGTGTGATTCCTTAGTCATATTTTCCTCATCGGATTGTTGAAATGCTCCTTTATTCTTCCCTATGAGAGGTTTAGTGCTGATCGGCATTAACGCCAGGGGTGTTGATTTTGTATCTCCTTCTCGGCGTTGTTGCATCATAACATCTGACCAACAATTTCAAACATTTCCCAATGCTGTAATTTCATACCATCAACAGATGTCTTTTCTCTGTCTCTCTTTTTTTTTTTTTTTTTTTTTTTTGCATTACAACTACTCAAACTTTAGACTTTCTATTCTGTGACTCGTGGGTATTTCCATATCTCCCGTGCATTTTTGACCCACCACCCTCTGGACACAGCTCTTTGCCCTGAGGTGGCCGTTGTGAGACCATCTGGACGTCCTGATCTGCTTCACAAGCCAACAGTCAGGTCTCTTAAGGTGCCATTACCACTCATAATCCTTGTGACGGCAGAATGGGATCAGACATTTTCCGTCGTAAAGGGTATAGAGGCTCCTCGGCCCTATGAAGAGACTGTTAGAGCTTTGAAATCCTATCTTCCCTGGAAGACTTTCTGCTTATGATGCACCCTATGAACCTCTCTAAATCCGAACAGTTTGTTTGAATAACAGCGTTGCGAAGCCTTTCCAAACACCGGTTACTCACTGCTGAAATTGGACGCAGCGCTACAAACAGATACTCCGGGTTGGCGAAAAGAACCAGAAGTAGTCAGTGGTTCTCACAGAAGCTGTGATGCCGTTGCTGGATGAATGTCTTTAGTCACACAAGAGGGAGAGGACAACCTCAGAAACAATTACTGGTAATTAATTGTTTTACAGAAAATGAGTCAGCTGTGGTCTTGGTAGGGAGGGTGCTGCTCCCATGAGTTTCATCAGGAGCTCCATCCGTGCGTTCCTCATCCGCCGCCCATCGCCTTTCAGTATCACTCCCCTGTGCGTTTCGTCAGGGTGTTCAGAGAGGAACATTTCCATCGCCCCAGATTCTGGTCTGATTTTTCTCTAATGTGACCCCCTGGGATGGAGCCTTATACCCTGCGTGTGTGTAGACCTGCAGAAAATCCTATTAAATGTGAGCTATTTTCATTCTACAGTCTGTCTAAATCGTTATTCAGCAGTCCTTCCTACCACTGAAAAAGTTTAAAAGTAATCCCCAAGAGAAATTAAGCTCTTCCAGTCCAGCAATCCTTTCCTGTTCCCTTCCTCTACCTGCTACAACGTGCTGTTATTAGCAATGATGTTAACTAATGAATTCTAAACTCCTCCCTGCCAAAGCCCATTTTTTTTTCCCTTTCCTGTAGATCTTTTCAGAACAATAAGCGACTGTATCGCTTTTTTCTAAGAACCGTGGATGAGGAGAAGTGAGTGCCAGGAGCAGACAGTGACCCCAGGACACCTGATCACTCGTGTCAGGGTTTCTGGAGCATCTGCCGGCCCTGGAGGCGGTGGGGCACGCTGCGCTCTTGGCCGGCCTGTGCCCTGGCCCGTGCGTTTCCCCCCAGGACTGCCCTGGCCCCACACGTTGGTGGAGGTCGGCGCCTCAGCGCCAGTCGGGGGTGAGGTGCGAGAGGCGCTGCACCTCCTCCAGCCGTCCAGCACCCTGCGGGCGCCCACTCCCTCCGGCGGGAGACGAAATGGCACGGCTCTGGTCTGGCAGATTTAACTTCAGACTCTTCAGGGTGCTGCCTGCTTCCCAAAGACCTCGCACTCCTGAATGGGAGCTCAGACATGGGGAGAGACCTCCGGCAGCTCTGGTGTTCCCTCGAGTTCGCTGGATGTGGAAGGGTATTTCTGATCATTCTAAGACTTTGTGCTTCTGGAAGATTAGAAGGAAGAGAACAACCGTTCTGTGCTGATTTACATACACTAACTGTAGTTCAAGGTTCCAGAATCCCGTCTCAGGAAAGATGTCTTCTTAAGCTGTTTTGGCTACGTTAAGTACGTCTGCGATGTGAATGAATTCTGGCAGCCTTTGGAGATGAAAGTCAGGTTTGCATCACTTTCTATACTGTTAAAACCCGAAATGAGCCTTTTTTTTTTTTCTTTGGAGGAGGCTTTTGTTCATACAAATTCCTGATGCTGGACTGAAAAACTCAGCTTGGAAACCCAGTTCTTCACCACGAATAGAAAGTATCTCTGTGGATACTCACTGCAAACTGCAGTTATAATATTGTGAAGGCAGAGCCAAGCCACATGATTACTGACAGAAGACCTAACCTAAATAATACTCTTGTAAGTTGTTTAGGGTGAGACAACCCTTCTTTTCATTACCCTAACAACATACCCTCCGTCAGCAAATACTAGAGACCAGGTTTGATAGGGGGAGGAGGGAACAACAGGCACTTCTAACTGGAGGAAGCCTGGCCAATTCTGTGCGTCTGATGCACACACTTATAGACTGAAAAGGGGTTTCACTTCGTCTTTGGAAAGACAAATATATAGAAAATAGCTGTTCTAATTTAGTATTGCCCGCTCATCTCCAATTTTATTACATATTTTATTTTATTTTCTTTATTCAAGCAACGTGACCTGTATGTCTGGAAATGAATTTTGCGTCTGTGCTCTCGATCCACACCCGTGCGCGTTGTGCTGTTTCACCCTCACCCCATTGTGCCAGCCCCTCTTCCACCCCCCACCAATTTTTTGGACCTTTTTTCCCCACTAGAGCCAGCCCTGAGCACACAGCCCCGCCTCAGCAGCTCAGCCCGGAGTTCCCTGCAGGTGAAATCCGCCCTTCGCCGTGCGGCCTCTGGCTGACTCTGGCCCCTCGTTTGCCACACGAGGCTCCTATGTTACAGGGGATGACAGGACAGACCGTGTTTGACTGGTTCGCCTGATAAATACCTGTTCAAAGTTTTTAAAATTCAATTTCTCAGACACACTGCTTTCATTTGCATCGCAGAAGTAAAGTTTTATTAGAGGCAGAGTTATCAGCAGAATTTAAGCCCTTAAACAAAGAACCAGTTGAGTTAGACTAGCATTGCAGAACGGAGGAAGGTGATGAGGAGGGTGACCAGGCGCCGCTTCCAGACTCTTCCAGATGCGTCGGCTGGGCTGCAGAAGCGCGAGGTTCAGTCTCTGTCCCTGTTCGGTGCCGTTCAGCGGGTGCCGGCGTCACTGCCACGGCTCAGCAGATTCTGGATTGCCCTGTGTAAGGACAGAGCAAATCATTGCCTCGAGGGGAAATCGGATCTTCCCTGCTGAACTGAATTCTTTCACCTAACATGCTGGCTTAGCAAGAGAAGCTTGGAGGTTCCAAGGCCAGCAATACCCTAGGCACTTTCTTAGAACTGTATTTTAAAAAGCATATCCCATCCTGTAAAGTTTATAATCTCTATTTATGTTTAGGTAGAGGGAGGGGCAAGACTCACTGTATTTTATCCCCCGATTCCTCCGTGACAGAGTCAAAGAGGTTCTCACTCACTCCTGGGCCTGGGAATCTCGCCCAACCCAAAATACAAAACTTTTTTTCTGACAAAATATCTTGTAGTCATCGGGATGGGTGTAACCCACTAATAAACATATTGTCATGAAGTGTGGTCTTACCCGTCACGTCACCAGACTGGGAATGAGAGTAGGAAGCAGAATATGAATGGGAGGATTTTCCACCTCCTTGGAAAGCTCCTTGGGAGGCACTGTGAAAAGAGAGCAATTAATTCGCAAGAAAATCCCTGACCACTGGATATTCAGGCAAGAACGATGTTAATGGAACTCCACGGACAAGATGTCTCTATTAGCAATTTACACAAGGATTTCGTTTTATTCCCTCGCTGTACTATGGAATACGTACGCAATGTCTTGCTGTCCCTCCTGCAGCAGGGCCCGGTACTGCGCAATCTCCTGCTCCAGGCGGGTCTTGATGCCCAGGAGCATCTTGTACTCCTGGTTCTGACTCTCCATCTCGCAGCGGATGCTGGCCAGCTCCTCCTCCACCGAGTTAATCTGCCCTTGGATTTGTTGCAGCAGGCAGCCATAGCGAGATTCGGTTTCGGCCAAGGAGTTCTCCAGAGAGTTTTTCTGGAGGCGGAAATGCAGGTGTTTAGGAGCGGAGCTCTCGCCCTGCCGGCCCGTGCCGAGGAGGGCAGGGCCCGGCGATCCCACCCCACGTACCGTGCTGAGCTGCGCCTGCAATTCGATCTCCAGGTTCTGCATCTCACGTCTCAGCTCAGTGAGCTGGTGGCTGCTCGTCTGGATGTCCTGGCTGCTAGAAGTGACCTGCTGGTTGACCTCTTCGATCTGCAGGAGACGAACCCCAAACTCACTTTCTGAGTGAGAAAATCCCCTCAGGGAGCAGCTTTGCTGCCTGGGAGCTCAGAGAGCCGGGGAGCCTCTCCCTTCCATCCCGTCCTCATCGAGGACAGCCCCGTCATTGCTCCGTGGATCCTGACGTCCCACCCCCCCTTGGCCCATCAGACCTGGCCTGCTCCCCCTCTGCCCCTGGAGCCTTTCCACGGGGGCTTTTTCCCTCCCGTTCCGCAGCCGTGCAAGTGAGGTTCAGGTGAGCAGCCTCCTCCTCTTAGCCAAAGGCATTGCATGCCCCGTACTACCGGGGCGTCTGGGGATCCCGCACAAGGAGACGCCACGTTGTGCGTTGCCACGTACCTTGACCTCATACCACTGCTCAACCTCTCTGCGGTTCTTCTCAATGAGCTGCTCGTATTCGTTTCTCAGGTCGTTCAGTGTCTTTGTCAAGTCTTCGCCGGGGGCAGCATTGACCTCCACGCTCACGTCTCCACCAGTTTGGGACTGGAGCTGTCTCATTTCCTGCAGAGCCCGAAGAGAGACACAAAGAGCACGGGTCATCGCTCGTGCTGGGGCCAGTGGGCAAAGCGGTATCAAGGTCCCAAGGAGCGACAGTCACACGATGTAGGGCTGAACTGATTTGACACGTAACTTTGGGAACCCTGAGGAATCAAAGGACTCTGTCTTGGGCACGCTCTTTATCATGGGGTAGTACCTCCTCATGGTTTCTCTTCAGAGCAATCAGCTCGTCCTTCAGGGACTCGAGCTCGGACTCCAGGGAAGATCTAACCAGAGTCAGGTCATCCAGGAGATTTCTCAGGCCATTAATATCAGCCTCCACAGTCTGGCGGATGACCAGCTCGTTCTCATACCTGTGCCAGAGATAAGAGAGACAGAGAAGTGGGGAAAGGAGATGATGACAATCAGCAGCACCCATCTTTCCGAGTCAGTATCCCAGTAAAACATGACGACTCAGTAACACCACTCGGGGCAGTGCTGCCTTGTCTCTCTCCTGAGATTATGAGCAGGATTTGAAAGACAAGTAATGTTCACGGAGAGGTACTCACTTCATGCGGAAGTCATCAGCAGTCATCTTGCTGTTATCGATGTCCAGAAGCAGCTTGTTATTGTCCACAGTGGCAGAAATGATCTGCAAAAGGGGAGGTTGGAGAGGAGTCTTCCTCTGCTCAAGACATCCAGCACAAGAAGACCCCAAGATTTTTTTACGGATTGTAAGGAAAGGCCTCGGTGCTTCCACCTGCTCTGCGTGGACTAAGGCAGTTCAGATCCTGCCGTCCAGGTGCTTTGGCTTTGCAGCCTGTGCGGCTGAACTGGGTGGGACTGGGAGGACTGGAAACCCCC